AGTCCATACCAAAGGAGGTGTTACACAACTACATAATGTAAAAGAATACACAAATACATTTGAGGTACAATAGATTCTTAGAAAGACCCAGAAAAATGAACCAACCTTCATTCTTTTTGCACTCAACTGTATTACACTAACTGGGCAAAAAGAATGTCACATCATTTTTTGGACAAAGTTAGTTCTGTAACACAAGAACAAAACATTTTGAGAACTACACTCTGGTGTATGAAACATAGCTAAAAAGGTGTATATTGTACATACCAAGTCTGGGGATGAACAATTGAAAACTCAGGATGAGGCAGGGAATTGACTGTGACAAGTGCCAAAAATGGGATGTAACATAGTGGGAAATTCTGAATGACTGCAACCTACTGAAAGCAATTCACAACTTGAGGAAGAGATATTATGAATGCTGGATCTCCCTGCTATTGTTATAAGCTTCATAGAGTCTCTGGGCTAGAAAATTTTATATCCTCCTATAAAGGGTAAATTTGAACTTGTCCTCCATTTTATGTATTTTTCACTCAATATATTTGTTGGAATGAGGTAAAATGACTCCCCATCAATGTTTGTAGTGTGTTATGAGTCCTTACGAGTTTACGAGTAAGACTCATTCTTTATCAACTGAGGACTTAGGCAAATTTTTCATTCATTGATTCATTTACCTTTCATCACCGCGGGAACCTTTTCCCTTAAACAGAAGAGCAGCCATAAAATCAGGAAAAATGGTAAAAGAAATCAGCAAAAAATATGTAAAAAATCGGAATATTGCTTAGTAAGGTGGGGAGGCTGTGTTCAGGGTTCAGGGTCAATATCTAAATATAGAAACCACCTAAAAGTTGCCAGAAAATCAGAAAAAAATACCCAAAAATTAAGAGTGATCTTCTCTGTTGCCATGGTGTTGAAGGGGCTGTGTCCAGTATTCAGGGTCCATATCCAAATATGGAAAATCAAGACAACTATGTAAAAATATTGTCATATTATGCAATGTGACTATATCTTGAGACCAGCTTTCTTGCTCTTTGAGATATTGGTCAAAAATGCATGACAATTTCCAAAAAGTGTCCAATTTTTTCAGTATTTTGTGTTTTTCTCAATGAGGAATGGTCTGCATGACATTATTTATATATATCTATAAAGGTAAGGAAAGGGGCTACAATTGTTGTTTATGGAGCTCAGTGAGAGGCAGTGCTTCTGATACCGTGGGAATTTTAACCCAAAAAAGGAAATTCATCACAAATATATAGAGCATGCTATTATAGGTCACAAAATATAACTAACCATCCTCTTTCCTGAGATATATGCAAACAGGACTGGGAATATTTTACCATAAACAGAAAAATAGTTATAAAATTGGGAAAATTTGCTATAAAATGAAAAAAAAAAAGAATAGCACACATTGTTGCTATGATATTGAT